TTTGATACTCCCAAATGATTTCTTGAGGTATTTCTGAGAGAAGTCGCGGTAAGCCGCGTAACTTCCGTTTCCTAATGCAGTCTATTTGCCGTTTGGCGGAAGTTATGCCATGAAATGCAATTATTCGAAAACTAAAGTATTTAAGCAAGGGAACAATTATCACAATTAGTCAAACAAGTTAGTCTTAAGGTTAGAATCCTCCAAATAGTCCCCAGCAGAGTCGCCATTTCTGTTTTATCAAAAAAATGGTGATTTTCGAAAAGAGTTTGTTTTCGACTTTTAGGAGTCGCCACTTAATTTTTAAGAAAAATCAAGAAAACTTTGTTTCTAAACAACCTAAACAGAAAAAATTGTTTTGAAACATTTTTAAGGGTTCGGGATTCTTATTAGTGTCTTAGGAAGGTGTAAGGCACCTAAGACACTCCGTTAAATACGGTTTTCCGACGATTAACTTATTTGACTATATTTTTTTTAAAGACTTGCGAATTTTGAACTACTTAGATATCTAGGCGAACTTTATAAGTTTTGAAATATTTTAACTTTGCAAAATCGTTTTAGGGCTAAGACACTTTATATTCAAATGAGTTAAAACATTTATCGTTTCGAGATTCCATTAAAGTTAAACCTTTTAAACTTAAGTCTAAGCGACTTTCAAATTCGAACATCTTTAAAGTTCCAATTTTTTAATTTCAAGTTTTGATAAAGCAAAAGGCGTTCAATGGGGGTTGGAGTTTTCTAATCCTCGACTAACGACATATAAATAAAAGCACGTAAACAAAGAGTAAAGAGAGAGAGAGAGAGGGAGAGAGAGATTCGGGTCCAAACTCGGGTTCTGTTCGCCTTGACCGAGTTTTGGACCCACCTGTTTTTTGGGTTTTGACCCCTTCTTTTCGTACCTGTCCTAGTCTAGACATATAAAAATATACAAAGAAAGTGAAACAATAAAGGCTTATGCCCATTACAAACAAAACACAACACAATACTAAAATCTTCTAATTCGCCTTTGGATTCTTCTTCAATCTTTCCGAAATTGGCTTCATACGTTTGCCTTGACTCGATAGAGGATTGAGCCTTTACGGCTCTTCCGGAATGCAAGGAGAGAAGGGAATCCCAAACGGACTCGAAGGAGTTTTCACATGCCACAAAAACAAGTGAAATAAGAATTGGCACCTTAACCAAATAACTAAAATAAATACAAAAAAAAGAAACATTTTTTATGTAATTAATCATTCAAAACGAACGTAAATTAAGCACATAATTGCAAAGAAGGAATTAAGACAAAACAATACACAATATCAACATACAAAACTCCCAAAGAAAAATGCTTGTTCGATCGAAACGGTATGCGGCAGTCCGACACCAAATTGAATTTTAACGGAAAACGAGAAGATGAGTGGCACTCGTCATATTTTTCCCCTATCTGACTCATGAATAGCACCAGATTGGGTCTATACTATATGCTATAGCTTCCACGAAACAAACTTGCATACATAAGACAAATAATAATAGCAAATTTTATTTGAGTCACTCACAGGCAAATGGAGGCAACTCTTTATCAGAACTTTGACAAAATGAAACATATAAAGTAACTTAGTAAAACCATTTGAATTCATGGAATGACAAAGTTTCGAAATGAAGAAAACTAAGGTAGACTAAGGAAGACAAGACACAACTACACCATGAGACTCCTCCAATCAACTTCGAAAGGTTGAACTTACATACATGACAATGCTAATGTCAAGCAGAAAAATCAATCACTGTATGACATTCATACAATTGAAGAACTCAACACGAACTCCATGCCGGCATCTCAGCTCATCCATCTATATGAGATGATGAGATGAAAGCTAGGACGTCGAGAGGGAAGCGACGACAGAAATTCATGTATATGCGAACCTATACTAAATAGAAGGTAGCAATAGTCCATGAGCAACCCAACCATCAATCACACATGCGAGTTTCAGACACTCTTAAACCAACAACGAGAAAAGCATGCTGTTCGACAGAAACTGCATAAAGAGCCAGCGAGGGAGCACGAATTCGCGGACTCAATAAAAAAAACACACAAACGAGAGCGACACTAACAAGGTATTTACAGGCATACAAACTCGACACGCTATTTCGATGGAAATGAAGATTAGACAGCCAAACCAAAACATATTGCAAAGCTACACAACCCATGTACTTAACGTTCGAATGTCAACAGGTTTAAACCCAAAACGAAACGAAAGAAACAAAAAAAAACAGTGATTCGATCAGCAGCAGCACAACAACCAGTAGACATATACGAAAAAAAAAGGTTTCCAACACTCGCTCCACCATAGTGAGATCGGGAGAAGGAGAAAATTATATGAGAGAGTGTTTACCTGTTGAGGAGCAGCGAACTTGGGACGACGAGCGAGATGAACGACGACTTCCACACGCGAACCACGGCTGCGACAGATTCCAAAACGTCCAACCCACAGAAAAAAGAGAAGCCGAATCTTCTCGAGATTTCCTTTTTCAACTCAAATTTTCGTTTTCAAAATTTTCCCCAAGAGATTTGCTCTGTTTTAAAACAGAGAACAAAGATGAACCAGCACTCCGGTC